GTTTCTCCAGTTTCTCCCTCAGTCTGTTATTCGTGTACGGGAAGGCTATCAGTCACTCATTTTTTTATCTTTTTAAACTTTTTTTTTTTTTAAAAGACAGGGTCTCACTGTGTAGTTCAGACTGGTCTTGAACTATATATCCCTGGCTGGCCTCACAGCAATCCTCCTACCTCATTCTTCTGGTGCTGGAATCCGTGGCATACATCAGTCACTCTTGTTAGCCTCTTCCACCCCCTTGTTCCTTTTATTTCTGTTGTATCTCTTTAATTGCCAAATCCGTATCTCACTGCTAACTCAATTCAGTTACCAGATTCCTCTGATCTTATAGCCAAATGGCTGGACATAACTGGAGAAAACTGTACTACTGTATGAATTTGAGCCACTACAAATTAATGATTTTAAAACTCAGCTAGGTCCTCCCTATCTCCAGTGAATCCTTTTTTTTTAAGGTCTTTGTTTAACACCTTTCTTATCCATCATAGGTAAGACAACATGGTGCTGTAAAAATATCAGTAGCTTGGAAAGCACGCAGACCTGGGTTGAAAATTGGGTTCCATCATTTATTAGCTGTACGGTCTACAGCAAATTTTTAACCTCTTTTTACCTCAGTGTTTCCTCATGAGTAAAATGAACATAATACTTTCTTTATTGGTAAGATTCCATATGTAAAAATCACAGTGCTGGGCCGGGGATTTAGCTCAGTGGTTCTGCTGCCTGCCTCACAAGTACAAGGTCCCAAGTTTGATCCCAGGTACCAAAAAAAAAAAAAATCACAGTGCCTGACACTCAGCAGGTACTCAATAAATAATAATTATTAATAAGAGGTCAGATACACCAGATGACTACACTTCTTACTTCACTAAGACCACTAACTGTTCCTTACCCTGAGTTCCCCAGAAGGCACAGCAATAATTTGTATGTTACTATTTTGTTGAACCATATGAAAGTGCTGGAGTTCAACTACTTTGACACACAGAAGCCATAAGGTTCAGCCTGGTACGTTTTTAGAGTATACAATCCCAGGGAAGCAGGAGGGAGGGAAAAAGAGTAGATGATGGAATGAGACAGTCAGTATGAAGGTATATGATATTAAGCTTGAACTGGCAGGACCATTTCAGAGAGATGATAAACATGACTTGCATCTCAGATCAGTTAATGAGGACAGAAGGAGAATTTAACAGCCAAATTCTGTCTTTTATTGATCAAAGCTTTGTGATACTGAGTGGTATTAACTCCCCTGAATCTCTGGGCTACACTGTATGTGTAGCAAATGCTAGGGTGTCTCAAGTCTCAATGTCAACAGAAAATTACCAGAGCAGGAAGCAGTATGGGAATGCAATGAGAAGCTGGCTCATTGCACTTGCCTATTTGATCAGAGTCCACTCAGAGTAGGGGCTAAAGCAATATCCAAAGGCCTCTACTATGGTTTGGATGTGGTTTGTCCCCCAAGGTTCACATTCTAGAAGCTTGGTACCCAATGTAATGGTCCTGAGATGTGGTTGAACCTTTGAGAGATGAAGCTTAGTGGGAGATAATCAGGTCCTGGGGCATCACCCTGGGGAAGGATTAATGTCCCCTTTACGGGGTGAGTTGGCTCTTGTAGGGTTGGATTATTTCTCTTGAGACTTGGTTGTTATAAAGCAGGTTAGCTCCTTTGTCCCTCCTCTTTTCTGCTTTGCTTGCTGCTTTCACATGCATGCCCATCACGTATCATGTGATGATGGAGCGTGAAGCCCTTGCCAGATATGGCTGCTCAATCTTGAACTTTCTGCCTCCAGAACTGTGGCCTAAACAAACCTCTTTTCCTTGTAAAGTATCTGATCTTAAGTATTCTGTTACAGCAACATAAACTATACAAAGATAGTCCCTGAGACAATTAGGACAAGAGGATCTAAATTAGTTAGCAGTGGTTGATATATACTGTGAAACACCTTTCACTTTGCAGACTCTCTTGTAACTGTAATCCAATCTTCTTTTGGTCAAAGGAAAAATAGTTCTCCTCTTATTCAGATCCAACATCTACTCTCTTCCACAATCGCTACCTTTCCCATTCCTGGCTGTACTATGAGTTTCAATCCTTTCCACCTCCGTAGGACCTTTTACCTTCAACTTCTCCCACTTTCCTGATCTCTTCTCCTCTACATATACATCTGCCTAGGTTTTTTCTTTCCTTAAAATACTTATCTTTAAGCTAAGTATGGTGGTGCAAGCCTGTAATCCCAGTACTCAGGAGACTGAGGCAGGAGAATCATGAGTTCAACCCCAGTCTAGAGTACATACCAGTTCAAGGCTGGCCTGGACTACACAGTGAGACTCTATCTTAAAAAATTATCCTTCACTTTGTGCAGGCTTCATGTACTTCCTTTTCTCTTTCTTCCTCAAAAAAATACCTTAAATGAGCGATACAGACTTAGCATTATTACTTTTTCACCTCAAAACAGTATAAACAGATACCTTCACTGGACTGAAACACCTTTGCTGAAGCCACACTGGCCTCCATGTGACCATATCCAATAGATACATTTCTGTCCATATCTAGTTTTCTCAGTGACATTTGTTCCTGCTAACTGCTCCATTCTAACTGGAATTCTCTCTCAGTTCAATTATGATGAGACCATTATTTGCTGCTCTTCCCAATGCCTTTGGTGATCTTTTTTCTGAGATACCATCCAGTCTTTAAGTGTTGAAGTTTTTTCCTGAGCTCCTTTCTCCTCTAACTTCACACACCTTCCTGGATTTCAAGTAGCACTATGTGCTGACAACTTCCAAACTTATCTTTCTGTCCTGACCTTTCCCTTAGCACTCATCTTCAAACTATATGTCCAGCTGTCTGGTGGACATTTCCCTCAGGCACTTCATACTCACCACATTGAAATTTAACTCATCTTCCTAGCCACCACCACCTCAATCTTGCCCATAAAACCTATCTACAGATAGTGTTTATTCTTAGCCCACTTACATTCTATTTATATTTTACCAGGATTGTTCATACAAAAGTCTTGGAATCCTGGCACCACTAAAGTCAACTACAGTATCTGGGCTAGGGTAGGGCTGCAGTCCAGAGGACCACACTCCCTACACTGCCCAGCACAGAGCAGGAGAATGTGCTGTAGGGGAGGAGATGAAGGTGAAAAAGAGTAATGATCTTCCTATTGTGGCTCCTTTAACAAGCTATGTCTATTCCCACTAATAGGTACTAAGCACTACATAAAATTCATAGCCAATAACCCTTAGTACACTCTTAGTTTAAAGACTAAGTCCTACAAGCATGGTGGCACACACCTATAATCTCAGCACTCTGGAGGGATGCGGCAGGAAGATCACAAGTTTGAGCCCAGCCTGGGCAACTTAGCAACTTAGTAAGACCCTGTCTCAAAATAAAAATGAGCTGGGGATGTAGAAGATCATAGATTCAATAAGACTAAGTCCTGAAGTTCTCAGCCTGACACATACCTCCCACTCCATTTTACATTGCTTACATCTTCCATACACAGACTTCAAATAGTCTTTCTCTACGTTGTGCCCCAGGACTAGACACAGGTAGTTGAATCTCAAGTCCTGGTTTTGGCTCTTTCTACTCAAAACTCTGCTTCTGGTTTCATCAATGTGATGACTTAAATTGCCTTTGCCCAAGTGTTGAGACTTAAAAACAATTGGAAGAAAGTCTTCAAATATCAGCTTGAGAACCATGGACTTAAATTTATAGAAAGCCTATGAAGTTTCTAAGCAGGAAAGCAAGAGGATGAAGACAGAAGCCATGTTTTAGGATCTGGTAGAGTAGTAACAGTAGTTGTAGTGAAGACTGACTAAGAAGGAAGACTGGAAGCAGAGGTTTATTTCAGAAATACAGGAATGAGGTAATCAGCCAGCCCAGTCAACCACACCTGCCTCATCTTTTCAAACCTAATCCTTTTTCAAATACACCATGGAATCTAAATGAGGAACCTTCCTCTAGCATCAGAGAACAGATGGCCATATTGAGAACCAGTTGAGAACATCACAATGACCAGTAAGTGAAATTGACATCACTATAGACCATCCTTTAAATGGCTCAAATTTTTAAAGACAGTTCCTTTGCCACTTCAGCATAAATATCTAAAGTGTTTCCTTCAGTTTGAGCACTAAACCTTGGGCTATTTATTAGGGCCCTGCCAAATATAGAGGATAAATCTCTCCTAGATTGTCCGTGTCTGACTTTGCAAATTGTCCATCATTAGGCTCTCATTTTAGAACTGTATTACAGGATTTAAAGATAATCTCTCTAATGGCTCACACATCTTTCTTGGCCTTAGAAAGGGGAAATTAATTAGTTATATCTGTAGATCCAAAAAAACCCCCAATGTGACAATATTCATAATGATGTGCAGCCAATCAACTCCAGCTTTATTCACTCATATAAAGAAATAAATTTTATTCATTTGTCCCTACATAACTGACCTCATTTGAATCCTACTGTCAGTGGCCCATAGCTACTATAATAAAGATGTAAAATATAAAGGTGGAAAGAGTGGTAGACTGTCTCATAGCCAAAAATTATGAGCTTTTATTTTAATAGTAATTATAGAATTGATTTAATAAACTAATTATGCTAAGAAGATAATTATAATTAGGGAAAATAGCCATAATTCACCAAAATAAAATGTCTGAAACTCATGAGACAAACTTTAATAAAAGTATTGGAACATATTTTTACCTCAACTGTAATGTATACACTGTACATGGTATCTAAAAGTTTCAGAGATGCTAATATAATTGACACTAAATTAATATTAGATTCAGTTTAATAACACTATCTATAGATTAAAATTTCAATCCAAGTTTTGAAAAATAAAATAAGCTAGCACATTTTCTTTGATCACTGCAGTTCAAAACAGAGAAAGATTATGTTCAATCCAACAACACAGGATCATAATCAAACACCATTTAAAATAAAGAATTTTGAAAATTCAGTATTTTATTATTTAATATTTCATAATCAAACACCATTTAAAATAAAGAACTTGGAAAATTCAGTATTTTATTGTTTAATACTAAATTCTGGATCATCATAAAATCATTTAACTTATTGGAAAATTGAATAGCAAATCAAAATTCAAAGCACCACCTATGACCTTTTGGTACATGCTAATGCATATGATTAACTATTTTTGGACATTTCTCTATTTGTAGCTCATCTAAAATGTTAACGGTAGTGTTTTTCATCTTTGAACAAACTTAAAAACAATGCTCATGTTGTATAAATTTGTTTACTGCTTCTGGAAGATTCTTAAATAGATACTATATCTTAACAGTTGATCTGCAGGAAGAATAACCAACGTATAGCTTCAAGAATTAGTAGAAAAACAGCTGCAATACTTTCCCTTAAAAAAAGGAGACATGACAATTGCTGTTGGAGGAGACCTGTCTCTGTGGTTTGAGGGACATGGTTTGCTACTGAATGTGAAAGCCACATTATATAGAGGACATAGATTAAAAGAAGGTATTATCTTGGCAAATAAGTCATCAATTGGTTAATTTGTTCCCTTGAACTTGAGGAATTAGAAAAAGAACACTGAAAACTGTAAGTGACAACTATATATACATGAAGAGGCCATGGATGTGGGGGGACACCTTACCTACAGAGATGGCCCAGAGAGGCCTTCGAGTACTACAGTATTGGGATATTGCAGCACAGCTAGCCTGCGAGGTTGAAGTTCAAAAAATATTGTCATCCACGATGCTCTACATCTCCATTACATTCAGTTTGTTTCATGAAACAGCATTCAAAAGACAATGACACATTTCCATTTTACTTCCAGCTCTTTGATTATGTGGCCAAGCTCAATAATAAAAATGTCCTTCCTTATATATCTCACTGCTCTCAAAAACATGTTATTATTTCCACCCAAGTGTGGTCTTGCAGTTCTCACAGATGCACGTGACCACCTGCAGCCCAGTGCAAAGGACACTCTTCTCAGAGGGGCCACACTCCACTTTCTCCACAGAGTTGGAGCTGAAGAGGTAGGCTCATCCCCAGCTGCCACGTTCCATAATAATTCAGCAGATAAGCTTGGAAAGTTTTGGATTTGCTCATTTTCACCATGTCTGCTGCACACTCCTCACTTGGCTTAGGGCTGACACTGGTAGAGCTGTGACTCTTCCAGACTCTGACAAAAGAAACACTGGAAAATGCACACAAGAATTGTTATAAGCACTGTGGTTGTCCAGGACGGCATATAGCACTGTCCACCCAGCTGAGATAAGAGAAAAATGTCACAACCTAGAATGTGTGAGGCCCTGTTAGATCCCATGCATGCCACTGGCTGTCCATGCCCCAACTCACAGCACCCATTCAGCCAGTGCCTAGGTCAGCAGAGACTGGGCTCTAAGGTGGCCCTGGCACAGCCCAGGGCCTTTGCGGCCTTTGGTGCCTGGCAGGAAACACAGCATCCTCCCTGCCCATACTGTCAACTATTTTAATGTATTCTTCCTAAATGCAAGAGAAGACATATCTCTGAACACTGAGTTGCAGTGTGCCTGATATACTATCAGTTTTCTGAGATTTCTTCAATGTTAGCCCCATTTAAATTTATCCTACTAAGATATAAAACAAGGGAGTGACTTCCCCTCTCATCATTCTTTCTCAGCCTGAATCTAGAAGTCCTAGCTGTTGCAATAAAAATGAAAAAGAAATCAGATATGTATATAGAAAAGGAAAAAATAAAATTGTCTATATTCATAGATGGCATGATTGTCTATAAAGTTCAAGAGAAAAAAAAACCTCCTGGAACTAATAAGCAATTATAACAAGATTGCAGGATACAAGGTTAATATACAAAAGTCAATCATGGGCTAGGGATGTAGCTTAGTGGCACCCCACCTGCCTGGCAAGCACAAGGTCCTGAGTTCGATTCCCGGCACCTGAAAAAAAAAAAGTGAATCACTTTCCAATATAGCAGCAATATAAAAGTAGAATTTGAAATTTAAAAAACAAAACTACTTATAGTAGCACCCAAAGATGAAATAATTAGTTATAAATCTAAGAAAATATGCACAAGATTTATATGAGAAAAATTAATGAAAAATATTTTAAAATGAAATAAATGGAGGAATAGTCCATGTTTATGGATAGGAAGACTTATTATGTCAGTTCTTCTCAATTTGATATATAGCATTCAAAGCAATGCTGATCAAGCCTCTAGCAAAACTTCACATGGGAAGCCAAAAGACCCAGAACAGCCAACTCAGTATCAAAAGAAAAGAACAAAATTGCAGGACTGATGCTCCTCAACTTCAAGTTTTATCATAAAGTTATGACAAGCAAGACAATGTGGTACTGGCAGAACAAATATATCAATGAAACAAGACGGAGATCCCTGAAATAGTGGCAGATAAAAATAGCCAAATGAAGCTGGGTATGGTGGTGCATGCCTGTAAATCTAGCTATTGGGAGCCTGAGGTAGGAGGATTACAAGCTTGAGGCCATCCTGGACAACTTAGTGAAACCCTGTCTTAAAAATAAATAAATAGAAAGGGTTGGAATATAGTTCAGTGCTCTCTGGATTCAATCCCAGTTTTGAAAAAATATCAAGTGATCTTTGACAAAGAAAAAAATGTAATACAGAGGAAAGGATATTCTTTTTGATAAATAATGCTGGAACAACCAGAAATCTGCATGAGTTTAAAAAAAAGGATCTTGGGCCGGGGATTTAGCTCAGTGGTTTTGCCACCTGCTGCACAAGTGCAAGGACCTGAGTTTGATCCCTGGTACCAAAAAAATAATAATAAATAATAAAAAAATAAATTAAATTTAAAAAGGATCTAAATACATTCATTATACTCATCAGAAAATTTAATTCAAAATGGATCATGGACTATAAAAACTATAAAACTAGAAAATAAGATAGAAAATCTGGATGATCTTGGGTATGGCAATGACTTATTAGATAAGAGATCAAAGTCAAAATCTATGAAAGAAATAACTGATAAGATGTACTACATTAAAATTAAAAACTTACACTCTGCAAATGATACTGTCAAGAGAATGCAAAGATTAGCCATAGACTTCTGGGAGAAAATATTAGCAAAAGACATATCTAATAAAGGACTATTATTCAAAATGATCAAGAACTCTTGAAACTCAACAATAAGAAAACAAATAACTCAATTTAAAATGAGCGAAAGACATGAATAGACACCTCTCCAAACAAAATGTAAGACAAAAAATAAGCATATGAAAAAATAATCAACATAATGTATCATCAGGGAAATGCAAATAAAAAGTGAGAGACCACTACACACTCAATGGAATGGCCAAAAATACAAATAACTGAAAAACACGTGGAATAACAAGAACTTTCATTCATTGCTGGTAGGATTGCAGAATGAAACAGCCATGTTGAAAGACAGCTTAGCAGTGTCTTACAAAAGTAAACACTCTTACCATATGATCTAGCACTCATGTTCCTTGGTATTTACCCAAGGAACTGAAACCTAAACACATAAATGTAGATATTTACACCAGTTTTATTCTTATTTGGCAAAATGTGGAGGCAAATAAGATGTTCTTCAGTAGGTGAGTACATAAATACTCTATAGTATATCCAGACAATACAACATTATTCAGCACTACAGTTAGCAAGTCAGGAAAGGATATGGAAAAGTCATGAATGCATATTACTAAGGGAAAGAAGCCAATCTGAAAAGACTATGTACTATATGAGTCAAACTATATAATATTATGGAAATTGCAACACTAATGAGATAGTAAAAAGATCAATGACTACCAAAGTTAGAGGAGGAGGGAGGGATGACTAAGGCAAAGCACAGAGGATATATTTGTCAAAACTCATAGAATGAACAACACTGGAAATGAACGCTAATGTAAACTACACTTTGGATGATGATGATGTGTCACTGTGGAACCATCAATTATAACAAATACACAACTTTAGTGCAGGACATCAATAGTGGGAAGAACTATGCATGTTTGGTGTACTAGTTGAAACAACAGCAACAATTCAGGAGAAATACTAAATGTGTATGGTAAAGGCCTTGTCGTAATAAGCACAGGGACAGAACCACTAAATAACTTCACGACTTTATAGGAAAAATTATGTTTATGTATCATACAACATTAAAGGAAACCTTAAAAAATAAAATGTAAATTATAGCTTCTAACCCAGCAGAAGAAATGAAGAGAATATTGAGAGCCTGCTGCAGACAGCAGGTCTGTGCATGCCCTACTGAGGTCCTGAGTTGGGCAGAAGACGCCAACCCACCCCGTTGCAGACAGGCAGGTCTGTGCATGCCCTACCGAGGTCCTGAGTCACACAGAACACGCCAAATCAGCCTGCTGCAGACAGGCAGGTTTGCCCATGTCCTACCGAAGTCCCCAGTCGCGCGGAATATGCCGAATCAGCCCGCTGCAGACAGGCAGGTCGGTGCACCCCATACCCAGGTCCTGAGTCGCACGGAAGACACCGAATCACCCCGCTGCAGACAGGGAGCCACCTGGTTCCACACTACAAAGACACAGAGGACACCAGACCACCAGACCAAGGTACCCAGTCCTACTATTACCAGCCCAGAGGTAGGGGCTTCTGAGCCGTCGTCCCACTGCTCCTGGTCCAGAAGAAGGGGCTTCCCGGACATCATCCCTCGCACTGCTCCCAGCCCAGAGGAAAAGGCTTTTGGGCCACCTTCTATCCTGCTGCTCCTGGCCCAGAGGAAGGGGATTCCAGGCCACCATCCCGCCCACTGCTCTCGGCCCAGAGGGAGGGGCTTCTGAGCCACCATCCTACTGCTCCTGGTCCAGAGGAAGGGGCTTCCCAGCCACCATCCCTCCTGCTGCTCCCAGCCCACAGGAAAGGGCTTTTGGGT